CGATCAGCCAATCAGGTGTCGAATTGCTTCCCGCTCAAACTCTTTGTTTTGGCGGCTGCTCAGAACATAACACCCCTCCCCTCTAAGTTCGCGCAAGCGTAGTCTTGCAAGTACGCTGGCCGCCGCCTGATTCGGCTGGATGCCCGGGGCACTTCTGCCCTGTCTGGAGGCTCTGGTTGCTCGGCTGAGGACCCTGCGCCGGAGGATGGTGATTGCCTGGGTCGTTGAGGAAGAACACAGGAGGGTGCTGGCCCACCAGGTAAGTCGCCGCTTCGGTTTAGAGCGCTGCCTGCCTGCTCTCCAGCGGCCTCCTCGTTTCTGGGTTCCCCGTCGCTGGTCGCCGCAGTTGGACTCGATGGGTTGGTCGGCGCCTGCTGGCATGGTAGCACTGGGTGCCTGCTCCGCAACTGGTCGCAGTGGCGTTTCCACGTTCTGCCGTCGAGGAGCCTGACCCTGTAGGAGCAGGGCCCGGTCTGATCAGTTACTATGCCCGGTAGCCACAAGGGATGCCCTCCATAATTGCGGGCATACACTGCCTCCCCCTGGGCGAAAGATCTCATCCCTCCCTGAGAATCCAAAGGCGTTGGGGTGGAGTAGGCAGGGTGCAACCGGTCAAGGGTCGTTCGCAGCCGCCGTCCCAAAGGAGCTCGGCCGGGCTGGTGTTGGATTCTGGGGAAGGTGTGGAGCGGTGAGCCAACAAGAATGCATCAATGCGTTCTTGCCAGGGCAGGTGATCCATTTTGGAGAGGGCCTCCTTGACGGACCGCACGGCGCGCTCCGCCAATCCATTGCTAGAAGGGTGAAAGGGAGAGGTAAGGGCATGTCGGATGCCCTGGGAAGCTAGGAAGGCCTCAAACTTGGCAGCTGTCAGTTGTGGTCCGTTATCGGACACCAACACGTCGGGTAACCCATGGGTGGCAAATACGTGGCGGAGGGTGGCGATAAGCGCGTCCGCCGTTGTGGAGGACATGTGGATGGCCTCGATCCACTTCGAGAAGGCATCCACAACAATCAAGAGCATGCGGCCCTGAATAGGGCCCGCAAAATCAATGTGGATTCGAGACCAGGGGGAGGATGGTGGCTCCCACGTCCGGGGCTCGGCTTTGGGAGGCAAAGCTTGGGCACCCTGGCATTTCGGGCACCCGGCAACATGGGCGGCTATGTCTTGGTCTAGCTTAGGCCACCAAACATAGCTTCTGCCCAGGGCTTTCATTCGGACAATG